TTTTGGGTTGCTCTTTATATGGCTATAGGACTCTGAAAGTAGCCGATTCTGGACTTTGCTATGGGATAAGAATATCTCCCCTTCTTTTTGCACAATTTGCATATTTGTTGATTTTTTTAATTCTTTTTTTCCCAATACTTTATTATGAAGGCAACTTATTTATAAAATATTTTACCAGGAAAGATACATTGAGATTTCTCTCGTTTTCAAGTATGTACTGGGTCCACAAAACATTGCATTGATACAATAGAGTACAATAAAATACAAAAACAATATTAATACAGTATATATACAAAATTTAACATAGAACAGGTAGGAAATACACTGCTCAAAAAAATAAAGGGAACACAAAAATAACACATCCTAGATCTGAATTAATTAAATATTCTTCTGAAATACTTTGTTCTTTACATAGTTGAATGTGCTGACAGCAAAATCACACAAAAAATAAAAAATGGAAATCAAATTTTTCAACCCATGGAGGTCTGGATTTGGAGTCACACTCAAAATTAAAGTGGAAAAACATACTACAGGCTGATCCAACTTTGATGTAATGTCCTTAAAACAAGCCAGTCCATAGCATCAATGCCTTCGTCTTGCAGGAACTGCTGACATACCCCAGCCACATGAGGTCTAGCATTGTCTTGCATTAGGAGGAACCCAGGGCCAACCATACCAGCATATGGTCTCACAAGAGGTCTGAGGATCTCATCTCGGTACCTAAAGGCAGTCAGGCTACCTCTGGTGAGCACATGGATGGCTGTGCGGCCCTCAAAGAAATGCCACCCCACACCATTACTGACTCACTGCCAAACCGGTCACGCTGGAGGATGTAGCAGAACGTTCTCCATGGCGTCTCCAGACTCTGTCACGTCTGTCACATGTGCTTAGTGTGAACCTGCTTTCATCTCTGAAAAGCACAGGGCGCCAGTGGCGAATTTGCCAATCTTGGTGTTCTCTGGCAAATGCCAAACGTCCTGCACGGTGTTGGGCTGTAAGCACAACCCCCACCTGTGGATGTTGGGCCCTCATACCACCCTCATGGAGTCTGTTTCTGACCATTTGAGCAGACACATGCACATTTGTGGCCTGCTGGAGGTCATTTTGCAGGGCTCTGGCAGTGCTCCTCCTGTTCCTCCTTGCACAAAGGCAGAGGTAGCGGTCCTGCTGCTGGGTTGTTGCCCTCCTACGGCCTCCTCCACGTCTCCTGATGTACTGGCCTGTCTCCTGGTAGCGCCTCCATGCTCTGGACACTACGCTGACAGACACAGCAAACCTTCTTGCCACAGCTCACATTGATGTGCCATCCTGGACGAGCAGCACTACCTGAGCCACTTGTGTGGGTTGTAGAATCCGTCTCATGCTACCACTAAAGTGAAAGCACCACCAGCATTCAAAAGTGACCAAAACATCAGCCAGGAAGCATAAGAACTGAGAAGTGGTCTGTGGTCACCACCTGCAGAACCACTCCTTTATTGGGGGTATCTTGCTAATTGCCTATAATTTCCACGTGTTTTCTATCCCATTTGTACAACAGCATGTGGAATTCATTGTCACTCAGTGTTGCTTCCCAAGTGGACAGTTTGATTTCACAGAAGTGTGATTGACTTGGAGTTACATTGTGTTGTTTAAGTGTTCCCTTTATTTTTTTGAGCAGTGTATATAATCAACCATGCCAGGTGCATTCTGTTTTGAGATATGTACAGAGGGTTCTCTTAAAGTATTTCAGGCCTGGGTAAGATTTGAAAGTGTGTGGGAGGTCGTTCCATAATTGGGGTGATCTGTAGGAAAAGGAGGATCGAGACACTTTCTTTTTGTATTGAGGTAGGCCAAATAAAGTGCTGGTACTGGATCGGAGGTCTTACCACAATACTTTAAATATTTTGACATTTCTTAAGAAGATCTCCTTGAGGACATGGTATGATATTGCACTAAATATTCAGTTGTGTGTGGATGTTTTGAGTCAGTTTTAGACATCACTATACTAATATTTCTTGGGCGCTATCCCTTGTGCAGCATCTACAGTTAATAATATATGTTAAAAAAATCTAGCTCTACTTCCACAAGCCCAGGTATTTAGATATTTACACTGTTATGCTCTGTACTATGGATTGCATGAAATCTCTAGCTTTATTATCAGTACTGTGTACTTTTTTTCTTTTATGTTTTGGGATTTATATACATTGGTACCCTGTACCCATTACATTTATTGTAAAAAAAAAAAAAAAAAAAATTCCAAATGTTTTCAATTACAAATTTACAATTTCTCAAGTTTCCTACTTTCTTTTTTATTTACTTTTTGCGGTTACCCAAGAAGAGAGTAGGTTTTCTTGGATCCAGCATCTATTTGCTTAATTGTTTTGTTTTTTTCACATAAGGGTGGTGCGGATTAGTATTTTTTTGTTTTTCATGATGTGTGCATTATTTGCAGCATGTGTGCTGCATGCATCATTGTGCTACCATAATGCAATCCACATTCCTGATTGCATTTCATTCAGTGATCACACACTATGATTTGTCAGAGTAAATAAATATGGATACATAAACTTCCCTGGCATAGGCGTGCGCAGCCTATTGTATAAGGGTGTGCACCCTAAAGCAGACACACACACGCCGCGCGTGTATGTATATATATATATATATATACACACACACACACACACACACACACACTGCTGTGTGAGGGTGATGTGTGTAGATGCTGTGTGTGCGGGCGCTGTGTGTGTATGTGAAGGTGCTGTGTGTGTGTAAGAGTGCTGTTAGTGTGTAAGGGTGCTGTTAGTGTGTGTGTGAGGGTGCTGTGTGTGTGTGAGGGTGCTGTGTGTGTAAGGGTGCTGTGTGTGTGTGCGCTTGTGTGTGTGGGTGAGGGTGCTGTGTGAGCGAGGGTGCAGTGTGTGCGAGGGTGCAGTGTGTAAGGGTGCTGTTAGTGTGTGTATGTGTAAGGGTGCTGTGTGTGTGTAAGTGTGCTGTTAGTGTGTGCTGTGTGTGTATGTGTGAGGGTGCGGTGTTTGTAAGGGTGTTGTTAGTGTGATGGTGCTGTGTGTAATGGTGTTAGTGTGAGGGTGCTGTGTGTGTGAGGGTGCTGTTAGTGTGTGGGTGCTGTTAGTGTGTGTGTGCTGTGTGTGTAAGGGTGATGTATGTGTGTGTGCTGTATGTTTGTGTGTAATGTGTGGGGTTGTGGGGGCCGTTTAGTTAATATCCCCCCTCCCTTCTTACCTTATGTAGGGAGGGGGGACCGTGCTGCTGCCATCCATGGTGGTCCAGTGGAGAGTGAACTCTAGCCCCACAGGGGGCTAGAGTTCACTCTCGCGAGATCTGAGCCGCGGCAATGCTCCGACCTCGCGAGAGGAACACGGCGGAGCTGCTTGCAAGAGCTCCCCGGGTCCTCTCCTGCCTCCCTCCATGCCTGTGGGTCGGTGAGGGAGATCTTTGATCTCCCTCACCGGCCCACGGAGGGATGCACATAGCGCGTGTCGCGGGGATTAGGGTGTGCCTTGGCACACCCAGAACATCCCGTGCGCACGCCTATGTTCCCTGGTACTGATATAATTTATGGAGATAAAACTAAAAGCTTCAAGAGAGATTAATATTTAAGATATATATCTGCTAGTAATTTCATCTGTATAGAGCCACCATGTCATTCTGGCATGATTGATGCAGTCCGGGAATGGACATAGGGCATTGAACACAACTACAGATGCAGCACAGATTTAATTCTAAAAATATCATCTACAAACAAGTGATATTTTTTCTGTGAATTTCCTTTTCACTTGGTGAGCATATAATACAGATAAGATATTATCTATAAAGAGACACATGGCCATATTTGTGTGATTGTTGAAATGTAAGTCTCATTTAGTTACACACAATTCACATGGAAATAGTTAGTCTCATTTTTACTCCCCTGACAAGAACTTTCTACTGTCCAAATAAAAATAAATAAATAATGCATTTGCAAGTCACTTCTACTGAAATCTGAACTTTTGTAAAATAAAAAAAGAGGACAGATTCACTACTCATAAAGCACTTCAGCAAGCTAAAGTGTCAGGAATATGTATTTGAGCATTATTTTACTTTTACTATTTATTTTACTTATGTATATGGTATTTTTATAAAAAAAATAGTTGATATTGTAAGGTATTATTACAGACAGATTGATTTATAATTAGACTCACGGGTACAAAAGCAAAAGAGAACCATCGTACAGGACTTTCATATTTGTAGCACTTGTATACAAAGCACTCAGCAAGGTAGCCAATGAGCTTACAATCTATAATTTACTTATGATCTGTTGGAAGCATTCTTCCCTTAATAACATGTTCTCTACCTAACACTGACATCCATTCCATGGTACTCTAAGATATGACATACCATATAAATTTTATAGCAATATTGTAACCAAAATTAGACATATTCCAATTATTTCCATGCAACAATTTTATAGTAATGCACATTAATTTAAATACTATTTATTATAAAAGGCAAAATCAATAATACAATGTCTATGGCCAATAAGTTGATTTAGTCGGTTTTATAACGAAACAAAAGAAAGGAAATTACTCTCAGTTCATATTGTGGCAACAAACTAATACAATAATACACTAATTATGAAAAAAGAGAGTTCAACAGTGCACTCTGCTGGTATACTATATAATGGCATATTGTAACAGTGATGACACATTATTACATATCTGAAAAGCCTGTAACCAAATTAACAGCCATATTGCAATAATTGATGGCAGCCATGCAAAATACAGTGTTGCCTTGTTTTGCATGGAAACCACACAGTTTTGCATGGAAAAACTAACTTAAATTTGGTGTGCTTTAGGTCTGAATTAGACTATTCCAAATTAATTTGTGTTCCTAACATCTTGAATCTTTAGGTCCTGCTTCTGTCTCCTCATCAGTCGAAAAAATAATATATATATATATATATATATATATATAAAAAATTCAAATAAAAAAGCCAGCACTCAAGGACTTGTAAACAAATAACTTCTCGGTTTATTCCAATATAGTTGTCAACGTTTCAGTTCATTTCAGTTTCCTCAGGACATAAATACATAATAAGTAACTTGACCTGGGTAAATTCCAACCACAGATGCATCGTATTGTCTTAGTGCTGGGAACTTTGCATATCCGTCTGCCTTCCTCTAATCAATTACATGTATTACAAACAGCACGTTGACAGAATTGAGAATGCAACATATGTATCAATTTTACATAAACTGAGAGTATCAACAGGAATGTCTGCCAGATAATTCAGAGACAAAATGGTATTAGTGTGTGATACCTTCTGATAAGGCTCAGGTAAGATAAGGAATAGAAGTTACAGTCGGATGTCAGAGTTACAATGTCTTTGCTCATCTAGTCCATGTCCAGGACAGTATTATAGCTCTAACAGTAAATCTAACCTTTTCACTTGTTTTAACCAACATGTTTATCTCCTCACCGTAGGAGTAATGTGATTGGTGATTTGGATGTTTTGGGGTAATTTGCGATGAATGAATGCCATTTCCATACATTAAATATGTGTTGCCCAATTGTAAAATGTGTTTGTAATGGTAAATGTTCAGAAAGAGCTGGTTAATCAAATATGCGATCCTTCATCCTGGCAAAGTGTAAATACCAGCTTGCCTTGAATGGTATACTCTTGGTTTCATGGCCTTATCATGGTCGACAAGGCAACGTGGAGGTTTTTCTTAAAAAAAATTTCTAGAAAGACATTCTAAATTAATAAATGATGTAAAGCTTTTTTTTGTGTGTGTAATTCAGTGATATTACAGTTATAATTAAAAAAAAAAGCACATTACCTTTTTAAAAAAAAATATAATGTACAGGTATATTTGGGATTTACATATTTTTTAATTTACCGGCTTTTAAGCCAATTTACAGTGCGTTTACAGAGAAGTACAAGTATGACTTGTTCTACTGTTAAATTAAATTACAGTTGCACAGGACACAAGCGTCCCACCCTCCCTCTCCCCTCGCTAAATATAATATCTTGAAAGGTAATACAAATTATGTATTTCATCTTTTCCACCCTGCTTTAACTCACTCAATCCATTCATTGCAACTTAAACCTACCAGAGTATCATTCCTGTACTTTTACATTAAATTATTACAATATATATTTAAATTAGTTGTAGGTTTAGCACTGTAGCATTTCATCTTTACATTTTTAAAATAAGACAGGCTTTTTACAACACTGCAGAGCGATGCTGATCTTACTGTAAATGCAATGCTTTTTTTGACTTGCTTCTTTCCAGTTCCAAAAAAACATATTTGAGCTAATATTGGATTTCTTAATATTCTACTCACCAATACTGCCACCTTCTGGTTTTCAACACAATGGCTTCTAAAGTAAAAAAGTGTAACATTATTTCTGTGAATTTTAAAATAAAAGTCTTCACAATTATAGACTGGCAAAGTTTGGAAATCAGAATATACCATGGTAAATTAACATGTGATTTTAATTACCTTTTTTTGAGTTGTTTTTACAAAGTTCACTTGGTGCATAGCTGACTTTCCTAATCCTAGTATTTATCCTCAATGTATTTCTTAGGAAATTATTCACTAAACATTAACTAGAGATTAACTGAATACATTTGAAAAATATTGAACAAAGGGAGTAAGCAATTAAAAAAAAAAAAGTTATCCATGTTAATTACATTCTAACAGGGCTTCTTTTGCTCAAAATTATTATCATCTGTATAAATAACAAGCACATTCTGCATTGCTATGTATATTGAGTATGGGTTAGTTATAATTTATAATATAGCAGTCTGGTAAATGGAGAGTGAGGATTCAACAAGATGTGGAGAGAGCTAGGTTATTGAAGAGCTAAGGCGATAAATAGGCGTGTTCTTGGTAATAAGAGTAGATGTACATCAGTGAGTGAAGTTGTGGAGGGCTTTGTAAGTAAGGGTGTTGCTGAATAATAAGAACATTTGGGATAATAGTATAATATAGTAAAATATAGTGTTAGTGTGTATAAGGTGTGAGACAACCTTTTTGTTTGGTTTGTAATGATAAAAGCACACTCCAGGCACCATAATAACTTCATAGGAATCCAGTTATAATGGTGCAAAGAGGTGCCAGCAATTAAGTTGTTATGGTGCCCAGGGTGTCGCTTTAAGGATGTAATAATATAATTAGACATTTAACATTTAACTCATTACCGAGTGCCAGGACGGGATAATATAATTAAATAGACATTTTTACAGAATCATAAGTGAGAAAAAAAAACTGATTTGATCAATATTTTTGAGATATTATGAACAGGACAAGGTGAATAAATAAATTGAAGGGTGAAATAGTGTTAAAGAGGAAAGTGCTTGTTTACAAAATTCTGCATATGAGAGTTTATTTATTAACCCCTTAAGACCGCAGCCAAATGTACAAGTTGTGATCAAAACGTAAACAAAACCTGGCATTTGCGCTCTGTCTGTCCAACCATACTTCACCTCTTTCATATTAAATGCACTCACACTTATTATATATATAATTTTATTCAGGGGAAACAGGGCTTTCATTTAATATCAAATATTTAGGTATGGAACATAATTTAATATGAATAAAATATAAAAAAAATGGGAGAAAATAAGATTTTTGTTAATGTTATTAGTTCTACGTGACATTTTAACTGTGAATGTCAAAATACTGTTTGCTTTTACTGCAATAAAATACACATAATACACGTGTAAACCAGTACCCCCTATGTACAGGTTTTATGCCTTAGAGACCATATGGTAGCCCAGGAATAAGAATTACCCCCATGATGGCATACCATTTGTAAAAGTAGACAACCCAAGGTATTGCAAATGGGGTATGTCCAGTCTTTTTTAGTAGCCACTTGGTCACAAACACGATTAAGGCCTGGGTTGTCAGGCAGTGTAATAGTGTACTAGACAGTGTATGTGTATGTGTTTATATGTGTGTATATATGCTTAGATCATATATAATAAATATATATATTATCCAAGTATATATTTATTTTTACACTGTTTTAATGGTTTTTAATTTTATTTCCAGACAGCAGGGGGCGTACCTGTCAAAGAGCAAACAGCCCTTTAAATTTATTTTGAAGTTGTCTTTGGCTATATTAGGCCGCATTTGAACAGTGAGATCTTGAATTTCAAGTGTTGGAAGCAGGAAAAAAAGCACAAAGATCTGAGCGACTTTGACAAGGGCCAAATAGTGATGACTGGGTCAGAGCATCTCCAAAATGGCGATTCTTGTGCGGTGTTTCCTGTGTGCAATGATAAGTACCTACCAAAAGTGGTGCAAGGAAGGATTCAGTGTCATGGTTATGTGCACCCAAGACTTATTGATGCACGTGGAAGAAAAGCTGGTCGGTCTGGTCCGATCACACAGAAGAACTATTGTAGCTCAAATTGGTGAAAAACATAATGCTGGGCATGACAGAATGGTGTGAGAACACACAGTGCATCGCAATATGCTGCATATGGGGCTGCAAAGCCACAGATCAGTCAGACTGCCCTAAATGACCCCTGTCCACCGGCGAAAGTGCTTTCAATGGGGACATATGCATCAGAACTGGACCATGGAGCAACAGAAGAAGGTTGCCTGCCTTGATGAATTATGTGTTTTTAGATCAGGTGGATGACCAGGTGCGTTTGCATCATTTACCTGGGGAAGAGTTGGCAGTAGGATACACTATGCATAGAAGTGAAGCCAGTGGACGCAGTTTTATACTCTGGGCAATATTCTGCTGGCAAACCTCGGGTTCTGGCATTCATGTTGAAGTTACTTTGACTCGTCTCACATACTAATGCACTGCTGCACTGTAAAAACTGTTTAGGAATGTTTTGAGAAACATGACAGAGTTCATGTTGCCTTGGCCTCCAAATTCCCCAGATCTCAATCTGATTGAGCTTTTGTGAGATGTGCTGAAACAACAAATTTGATACACGGAGGCCCCTCCTCTCTATTTGCATGACTCAAAGGATCTGCTGCTAACGTCTTAGTGTCTGATACCGCAGGACACATTTAGAGGTCTTGAGAGGTACTTGATTCAACACATTAGAGCTTGTTTTGGCAGAACGAAAGTGTAACATTCAGTAGGGAAACCAAACATGCAGACATGACACAACAAAGATGTCATGGTAGTTTACCCCTACACGCAAGATTTAGTTCAACAATCGACAGAGCAGATACGGCTTACCGGACCTTAGAATGGCCGGACTCGCCATATAGCAGAATAGACAGAGTCAAGAACGAGCCAAGGTCAAGGGAACAAAGAGACTGCGAGAACAAAAACTAGCCAAGGTCTGGTACACAGTAGTGAGTAAGCTGGCAAACAAGACAAAACAGGGATAGAGAGATAAACGGAGTCAGATACAAAGCCAAGGTCAAGCACGAAAATCACAACTGAACACAACAAGCGCTAAAGGGAACTGAAACAGAAACCACAATAGGGCAGGGAGTTAAGGGAGAGGTAAGTATAAATACCTTAAACTTTACTTTGATTGGCCCCTGTCATATCCACACCCCCAAAATGTGAGTGTCTGGGGAATGTGGGAGGACAGGGGCCAATGGGAGCACATTTCATCTTTTGGCTCCCACGCGCGGCACGCTCTTAGAGCTAGGCGGGACACGTGACCGTCTTCATTCGAGAGCCGCGCGCGGCGGGAAGTGAGGACCTCGGCCGGCCCCCGGGTAAGGTAAGTACCGCTACAGTACCCCCCCGAAGACACGCCCACCGGGCGGGGAGGACCAGACCTGGCAGGAAAACGAGAATGGAAGGAATGCACAAGGCGAGGAGCATGAACAGCGTCAGTGGAAAGCCAACTGTGTTCCTCAGGCCCATAACGCTTCCAATGCACCAGGTACTGGAGTCGACCCCTGAGAAAACAAGAGTCAAGTACAGCAGCTACTTTGAATTCCTCATGACCCTCCACAGAAACAGGAGGAGGAGGAGGAACATGCTGGGTATAGCGGTTACACAGGAGGGGCTTCAACAAGGAGGTGTGAAAGACGTTAGGAATACGCAGGTTCTTAGGAAGATCCAAGGCATATGAAACAGGATTAACTCTCTGCAAAACACGGAAAGGACCTATAAAATGGGGGGCCAACTTCATAGAAGGCACACAAAGGCGGATATTGCGAGTGGAAAGCCAAACCCTGTCCCCCAAGACATAGGACGGAGCCGCTCTGCAATGTTTGTCAGCTTGAACCTTTTGGCAACCAGCGGAGTCCACCAAAGAACGCTGAACCTGCTCCCAAGTAGTACATAAACCAGCTAAATGTTCACCCAGAGCTGGCAT